TTTTTTCACGGCCTTGTTTATATGCATTGTTGACCTAATTGAGTGTTTACTTATAGAAGTTTGTTTTCTATCTTTCTCACACACAGACATAACGTATCACTATTGTCCTAGGTTACTTCCTATGGCTATAGTAAAGCACTTTGATCAAATCAACTTAGGAAGAAGAGTTTATTTCATCTTACAATGTCCAGGTTATAGTTCAACACTGTGGGAAGTCAGAACAGGAATTCAAGGCAGGAACCTGGAAGCAAGAACTAAAGCAGAGGCCATGGAAAGATGGTACGTACTAGCCTGTTTCCCATGTTTTGCTTAGTTTGCTTTTTATCTCACCCAGGACCACCTGCCTGGGGCGGGGGTACTGCCCACAGTGCTGGACCCTCCTACATCAATCACCAATCCAGAAAACGCCCCCACAGTCTTTCCTACAGGCCAATATGATGGAGCCAATTCTTCAATTGATGTTTTCTCTTCCCAGATGACTGTAGCTTGTGTCAGGTTGACAAAAACAAAACAAGCACCACAACCAGCACAATTATGTTTTCCTGTTGTGTGGTTTCATTAACAACAAACTCAAAATTAATTTCATCAATATATCCCAGTTTATGTACCAAAAAATTAGCATGGTTCTACACAATGTAAGGAGTTCATTATTTTCATTTTTCAATAAAATTTAATGTTTCACCAATTACTTAAAATTTACAGTCCTGATTTCTTGTATGTAATTAATCTAGAAAAGGATTTCTTTGTGTCTAAAATAATCTTTTACATATATCTAAGGAGATGAATTACCTTTTGTTTTAACTTTTTATTGATTATTTGTGAATCAGTCATTCATCCTGATCCTGTTCACCTCCCTGTCCCCTCCCTTCTGCCCTCTGCTCTTGCAACATCCCCTCTGAAACAAAATTTAAAAGTAAAACAAAACAAAACAAAAAAACACCACAAAAGCAAACCAAACCCTCCAACCAAACAAAAACAATTTTAAAAAATCTTGTGGCGGAAGGTGTAGTGTGACCAGTATACCACACAGTATAACCTTTAGTCCATATATCTTTATTTGCAAGTGTTCATTGCAATGAATCATTAAGTCTGGTATGGGGCCTCCGGTTTCTCCTACACTCTTGATATCCTATTTCTCCCTTGTGCCATGGAGATCCTGCAGCTTTGGATCTGCAGGCCCAGCTCCTTCACATGCTCCAGCAGTTCATAGATGATGTGGAGGTTGGGTGGGCTACCTTGTAGTCTTGGTTCTGGGCCTGGGTAATAACTGGGTTGGTCAGCTCGTCTGCTTTCCCTCATCTCACCACCAGGGGGAGCTGTCTGGCATTGCCCCAGATAACTTACCCACTGTAGCAGACAGGAGGAGACTGGGACCAGTTCTGCTCTCATACCCTTAGGTCTGGTTCTCCACACTCATACCATCAGGGCCAACTCTACTCTACTGCCCAGGCAAGGCGCAGAGCCAGCTCTCCAGACTGTTGCTTTTCTTGAGAGGCATAGCCAGCTCTTCCATTATTACGCCCCTGAGTCCAGCAAAGCAGGGAATACATATTTCGAGCAGGGGCAGCTCTACTGCCCTCACACCCTCAGGCCTGGCTCACCTGTGAAACAGCCAACAGGATCAGCTCTGGTGTGCTGCCCCGGCAAGGTCTCATGTCTTCTCTTTGATGTGCTACAGCTGATGAGGTTAGGGCCAACTCTCCCACTCTCAGTGGCCCTGGGGCCAGCGCTCTCACCTGCTGCAGGTGGCAAGGGGTGAAGGGAGGGAATGCCTCCTACTCTCATGGCCCTGGACCAGCTCCTCTGCGTCCCTGACTACAGAGTCAGCTCTAGTGTGCTGCCCAGGTAAGGTGCAGGGCCTGCTCTTGTGAGCACTGCTGCTGATGGGGGCAGTGCCAATCCTCCCACTCTAATGACCCCACGGCCAGCTCACAAGCCCTATCCGTGGCAACGGGCGAGGGATGAGGGAGGTCATCTCTCCCTCCCCCGTTCTACCATATGACAGTTGAAGGGTGGAGTCAGATCTCCGATGTACTTTCTCTTGCGCCGCATCAATGTGGTCAGATCTACTGTGCTGCCTGAGCTAGGTGCAGAACCACTCTCAGAGTACTGCAGTTGGTGAGGGGCAGGCAGGGCCAGCTCTCCCTAGTGCTGCAGCAAGTGAGGGATGGAGTCACCTCTGTGTTGCCCTATCCTTATTGGTTTCTGTGGTAACAGGAGCCCTTGACATGAGGCTGCTGAAAGGGCCACTGACCCAGACATGACCCCTGGCATCAGCCTAGGCCTGGATGATACCATAGCCCTGGGTGGCTCTGCAGGCTGACAGCGGAAGTCCTTCTGTGTATATGTCTCTCTTATTGGCTAATGAATAAAGCACTGTTGGCCAATAGGGAAGCAAGATAGGTGGGACTAGGAGTCGAGGAGGATTCTGGGAAATGTAGTCAAGAGTGGAGAGTCATCCTTATAGAAATATATATTAGTAGTCATGGGTTAATACTTAAGACAGAACTAGCCAATGAGAAGCCCTGGACATTGGCCAACAGCGTTGTAGCTAATAGAGTCTCCGTGTGTTATTTGGGATTGACACGGCCCTGGGACCAGCTGGCAGGAAAGAATATAAGTTACAGCAGGCTACTCAGATCTACATGGCCCTGGCAGAGGTTCACCCCTCTGATACTAACCTGACCCTAGATGACGCCCAGGCCCTTGACATGCTCTTGGCCCTTGGTGGCACTAAGGGCCATTGACATTAATACAGACCCCAGCTGTGGTTGGACCATTGACCCAGACATGGCCCTTGACAGAAGCCATGTCATCATGGTCCTGGCTGGCAGTGATTGACACTTGGACCAGCATGACCCTAACGACAGCACCATTATTGAAACCCATATGGGCTCAGGTGAGGGCCCAGATTCCGATCATCCACATGGCCTTCAATGGCAACAGGATCCTCAAACATCAGTGCAGATCCTGGCTGAGTCAGGCCCACAGACCCAGATATCAACATGGTCACAGGTGTGGGCCCAGACTTCAGACATCCACACGGACCTCAATGATAACATGAGCTATGGATATCAACACAGACTCATACAGCTACATTAGGGCCATAGATCAAGTCCTTGATGGCAGCCCAGACAGAGACATGGCCAAGGGTGACAAACAGGGCGCCCACCTCAGCTGGTTTCTAACCCTCTTCAGATTTCCTCTCTTCCAGGCACACAAATAATGTGTGCGCTTTCTCTCTCTGTCTCTCTGTCTCTGTCTCTCCTCTGTCTCTGTCTCTGTCTCTGTCTCTGTCTCTCTCTCTCTCTCTCTCTCTCTCTCATTTTGGCACCCTGTACTCACTTACCATAATGGTGACTGACTGCCCAGCACCAGAGGTGCCTGGCCTGCTTAAGGGAGAATTCTAGGTCTCTAACCCTGGGGCAGAAGTTTGTTGGCCAGGCCTAGGAAGGCCAAATGACTCATGGGTGAATTCTTCCTGTCCCAGGTATCAGGGGAAGTTAAAATTTTAATAAAGAAAAAATAACTGTAAGCACTTAAGGAAATTATAACGCATTGTAGGAAACAGCTATCAATCAGAAGCTTTTTAATACTGAGGATTAAATGAAAATGTATGCAGATGCCTGTGTATGGTAGAAATTCACTACGGGGAAGACTTCAGGGTAAGATGGCAAACTATAGGCTGCCTCTGTGTGAGGTGGTAAAGGAGAGTTACAATAAATTCCGTTTAAAAAGAAACTTTATCCCCAAGAGAATTTCGAGCAACTTTTGTCAAAACTCCATGCCCATTGGAATTCATATCATGCCACTATGTGACCAGGATGTTGACACCTTGCTACAGGTTTTAATGTGTGCCCTGCTGGGTTTCAGTCTTGGTTTTTTCCTATCTCTCCTTTCTATGCTCCCACATCTCCATTTTGGAACAAGAATGTTCATTCTTTGCTATTATATATTGGAACTGTATAAAAGCTTTTTTCTTTTTGAGACAAGGTTTCTCTGTATAGCTTTTTTTTAGGCTTCAGAACTAAGCTAGGATTGTCCCTTTGTTTTTACACTTTTTTATTATATATTTAAATTAGAAATAAGCTTGCTTCCCATGTCAGTCCCAGCTCCCTCTCCCTCCCCTCCACACCCACTCCCCTCCCAGCCCTCTACCCAATCTCCACTCCATTCCGCAGGGAGGTAAGGCCCTCCATGGGGGATCTCTAGAGTCTGTAATTTCATTCCAGGGAGGGGCCAGGCCCTCCTCAAAGTGCCCTCTGTATAGCTTTTAGTTGTCTGGGAGCTCACTCTGTAGACCATGGTGGTCTTCAACTCACAGAGATCCACCAGCCCTGTCTCCAAGTGCTGGGATTAAAGGAATGTAGGACCACCTCCTGGTTATAAATTCTATTCAATGTTTATAGTGGCTCATAGGCAAGAGTTTGCTTTGAGTCTCACCGAAGAATTTTAACTGGACATTTTGGACAATTTTGGAATTGTTAAGATTAATGGGACTCATGGAGACAGGATGAATATATGCTAGAGTTTTCACATTGATCATGGGTAGACTTACTATGATCCACCTTCTTTGACAATTTGACTAGATCTAGAATCACCAAGCAATCAAATTTGAGAGACATCTTTGGATGTTTCTGTGAATGTGTTTACCTGAGGAGAGTGCATGTGACAAGATCCATGGACTTGGCGGGTTGGAGAGAATAAAAGGGGAAAAGGAGAAAGCCAGCTCAGTGCCTGTATTTTCCCTCTCTCTGCTTCCTGGCCAACCATGATGTGAAGCTGCTTTTCTCTTTTATGTCTTCTGCATAAAAGAGACTGAACCTCCTGAAGCCATGTGCAAAATCAATCTTCAATGCAAGTGTTCTGATAATTTGGTCACAACAATGAAAAAGTAACTGACAGAGACATTGATCAAGTGTTACTGACAGATTATTATCATTATATCAAATTATTTTATTTTTCACCATCCCTCTAGACTCAGTGAAACATTTCCATTGTTTGCAGTAGCGATTGTGTAACTTTCCTGTCATGCTGTTTTATCACACTCTTAGGGACACAATAAAGTCACAGATGTGTAATAAGAAATAATCCATGATTAAGAGATGAGTAACTAGGGAAGGCCAAATCAAGAGATAATTCTTTAGAACCTGAGTATAAAATTTTCTTTTCATATTTCCCACTAAAATACGTAACAGTGAACTCATGTATTTTGCAGTAAGTCTCAGTACCTCCTCTGGGGGACCCTACTGGGATTCAGAGACATTTTGGAAAAGGAGATGACACATTTACTAAGTCTTTTCTCACTCTTAGATGTCTATCATCGGTATACTCTCATCAAGTTCTAGGACATCCCATCTTCCCAAACCTTCTCTAGAATGTTGTCATATAAGCCAACTTTCATTCTCTGACACTGATGTAGAAAGAACTTCAAGAGATCCCCAACATCTCCAGTGGAAGACACTAAAACTCTGAGGTCTGCTGAGGGCTGTTTATGAGTGAACAATGGTCCTAGAACAGAATATGACAGCTATAATAGAAAAATGAGCGGGTCCTTTTTCCCATGTTACTCTGAGTCTGTGCCTCTCCCTAGCACCTTCCAGAGAGCCCCCTTCACATCCTTGTTCCTCAGGGTATAAATCAGAGGGTTGAGCAAGGGGGTGATAATAGTATAGAAAAGAGCAACAAACTTCCCCTCACTCTCAGAATAGCTGCCCTTGGGCTGTAAGTATGTGTAGATGGCTGAGCCATAAAACAGAGAAACCACCAGGAGGTGGGACCCACATGTCCCAAAAGCTTTTCTGCGTCCAGTCATTGACTTGATCTTCAGCACTGCCCTGGCAATCTGTGCATAGGAGCCTAGAATGAGCATTGCTGGAAAAGCAACAACCACCACTCTGGCCACAAACATCTTGGCCTCTGTCCCTCCAGTGTCCTCACAGGCCAACTTCAGGAGAACAGGCAGCTCACAGAAGAAGTGATTCAGTTGATGGCCACAGAGGGGCATGGCCATCATGAGGCTTGTCTGGATCAGAGAGTTTATGAAGCCTCCCCCCCAGGAGACAATAGCCAATGTCTGGCAGAGAAAGGGGTTCATGATGGTCGTGTAGTGCAGGGGACGACACACAGCAGCATAGCGGTCAAAGGCCATCACCACCAGGAGCACACACTCAGTGGAGCCCAGGGCAAGAAATATGTATAGCTGGGCCACACACCCACCATAGCTGATGGTCCTGTCAAGTCCATGGAGGTTGATCAGGAGCTGGGGCACAGTGCTGGTGGTGTAGCAGAGGTCCAGGAAGGAGAGATTGGAGAGGAAGAAGTACATGGGAGTGTGCAGTCGAAGGTCCAGTCTTGCAAGAGCGATGATGGTTGTATTGCCAAAGATAGTTAGGGAGTAGAAAATCAAAATAATGACAAAAAGGAAGACTTGTAGTTGAGGCCAATCTGAGAAGCCCACCAAAATGAAACTCTCTTGTGAAGTGGTATTGAAATTTCCCATAGCCTTTCACCTGCACAAATACTAAAACTCACCCCGTGGTTTCCTATAAGGAGTATGGGTTAGAACACTGCTCTCAGTATTCTACAAATACTCAAAACTATGCTTGCCATCTTCTAATTTGCTACTCTATCCCATAGGTATAGTCTTCTTTCTATTCTGTTTTACACATAGGCAATATCTGTATTAAGGTGTTGTGGCCCTTGTTAGAACTTCAATCTTGCTGCCTGGAGTTTTCCAGACAACTCAATATTTGGGTTCAATGCTTCTTTGTCTGAAGGTAGACATTCTATAATGCTTCCTTGTTAGCACTGAGATGCAAATCCAAATGCAGCCACATGGAAAACAGCATTTAAAACATGTAATGTTGGCCTTTGATAGCTGTTGGGAGAGGTAGAATCAGTTTTATTTAATGATGTTACCCCTGATAGGTTAACCACACACAAGGGCAGGCCTCACTCTCAAGACTTGATCAGCAACACAAACTGGCCTGGATGGGGGAAAGAAAAATATAAAAGAAAATCTTAAAGTTAAATGGACTGTAGAGAAGGTGGCTATGGGTGGTGTAGGGGAGGTGTGAATACGCAGAAAGTACAGTGTATGAAATTCTCAAAGCATTAATAAAAATATTGTTTAAAATTTGAAGTATGTTTTGTAGTGTAGATGACTGATAAAGAAATCGTCTAGTATGTGTGAGATCCTTTATCTAACCCTCAGCACCCGAGAAAGCTAAAATATATACATAGGTAGCAAGAACTTAAAGAAAAAAAAGATAGCTTAGTACTGTTCTCATTTGTTCCTCTTTTTGGTTTATGAGGCAGAATTCTGCAAGTAGGAGATGAAGATCTTGAATTAGCAAGGTTAAAATCACAGATCTCCCCTATTTGCTTATTTGCTTCCCATTGCTGAGTGTCCATGACCCATGCAGTACTCACAGAAGGCTGGTTCATGGCAGCAGTCTCCTGACAGAATGACCATGAAGAGCATCCATCTGTCTCTGCAGGGAAACAAAATGGCTTGTGATAAATACATGGCTTGCCATATGTCTTGGAACATGTGCCTAATCTCATCCCACTATCAAACCAGCTCTGAACATCTCAGGAAAAGATGTATTCTCCTCTCAAGCCAAAATTTCTTTGTGTACTTTCTACCTGTACTCTCATACTGCCTTTCAGTTAGTTGCACAAGATTTTAACTCTCCTGCTCCATCAATGGTACGTATAATGAACTCACTAAATTATTTTACACTTCTTTGTCCTCTTCCAAGCTGAGATGCTCCTAGGCACTTAGAAACACAGGGGGTGGGGGCAGAAAGGTAGTGTCTTATATTACAGTATATGAAAGGCATTAAGTTAATGATACTTTCACTTATGCCATGTAGAAGATATTAAGTAATTTGAGGGAAACATTTGCCTCTCCTTCCAAATCTCACTAAAATCCACGTCTTCTAGCAACTTTGAGAATTAACTATGAATGCACTTTAACAAACTGTATTAGCAGGATGTGGATAAAAGTTACTTTCCCTTATAAGTGAACATTTATAACAGTTTAAAAATCTGAATAGAATATACAAAAGCAGGAAAAGATGCCAATATCCAATAGACCCTTCACCTATGCTCCATACAAGCAATTCTGGCAAATTAACACAGTATTCTTTTCGCTGAGTCTACTATCCTGGAAGTCATCACCAGTGTCTTAGCTGGAATAATGACTCCAGGAAGGTGCTTGAAGCCCCTGTGGGAAATATGAACAAAGGGTGAATTGTGAAAAAAAAGTGTGAATATACACAGTGTAACCAGGGTACCTAAAAGGGTTTTGAATGAATCTGACAGCTGAGTACAGCTGTGTGTGAAGGTTACAGTCACACCTCTACATATGGACTTTATCACATTTTATGGAGACTTGTTTCACATAAGTATAAAATAATCAATTTTGCAACATTTAGGTGGGGATTAAGTGCTATAAGACATTCTGAAATGATAAAAACTGACAGTATGTACTTCTATCAGTGGTCTGTCTACACAGCTAAGCTCTACGTGTCATGTGTTTGGGCCTTCTCCATTATCCACTCATTTCATTGCTTGGGGCAAATGGGCTCCCAACAGATGCTGGGTGTATTAATGAGTACATTCCACATATGGTACCATGCCTGATATCATAACTATTTCAGAATAGTTGTTTTCTTGAAGTAGGAAAGAATTAACGCTTTCATCTTCATCCTCAATTAGTAGCACAAGGATTTTAATTGTCTCCATCCTACCAATAATGTCTATAATGATATGTAGACAGCTTAATATGCTTGTAGTGCATGACTAGATTGACTTTTAAAAACGTGCTGGAATCGTAATTCCTAAGGATCTCAGCAAAACAAAAGTATGTGCTATAGATTAAGTGGTTGACACATATCTAAGGCTAAGCTCCTACCACATAAGGAAGGCAGAATTCACTTCACCTGCAAATTTTCAGATGGACAGAAACAGAATGGAAGAGATTAAATTGAAAGCTTTTAAGTCAGATATTTAAAAAGTAGAAAATGAAAATAACCTGAATGTATTGACCAAAAGGTAAATAAAAACCAGCCGTGCTGACTTAACTATGGATTAATTTATCAAATGCAAATCCAGGCTAGATTAAAAAAATAACACAAAGCTGTGACATCTTTGGTTTAGAGGTGAACCTGAAAGTCATTATTTCCACAGATGCTCCATATGGTGCACCTCCCACACCTGTACACATTCTTCCACCCAGGATTTCTCCATAAAACCCGTGTGCATTTCCTCAGCCTTACGTGTTTCCCCACTATGTGCTTAGTTATTCCTGCCATATTTATGGGCAATTTATTTTTGACTCCTCAGTCTATCATTTCTACTTTGTCTGGCTAAAATCCTTCATTGATTCTCACTCTACCTCATGCAACCAGTTCTGGAAAAATGTAATTCAGCATAGTCACCCTGTCTGAAATTAGATCCAAATGTTGATTTATCTTATTCAGTTTTTTACTGTCAGTGCCTAGAAAGTCTTCCATAGGTCATTGACCCTGAAGTACTCCCTTATACCAGCTCTTCAATAGTTCCTTAGGAGAACATGAATCCTTACAGCAATTCAAGTATTCCTTAAAAAGTGGGCTGTGACAGTATCCTATATTCTTGAGAGCTGTTCTTCTATTTGGAAATCTAGTGTACAAGGTGAGATTCCCAATGCCAGGTAATTCAATAGGTGAAGGCTTTCCCACCCCATTCTCTATTGACGTTCTTCTGTATAAGCAAGACCTTGCTTATATGTGATCCACCTTTGGGGATATGTACTGCTTTCTAATCCCTAGAGTTCTGCAGAAGACACGCTGATCTGCCCAACCACAATACCCATGTTTACCTGAAGTGTCCCGTTTACCTTGAGACTGATGCCATCAATTCACAGCTCCCCTTGTCTGCATACAACTCGTGTATCTATCACTCAGGTACCAGTTGCTCACAGAATTTTTTCTTCATCCTTTTTTTTAGTCTGTTAATTGGGGTCTTCTTGATTATATACAGGTTCTGAAATCATGAAAAGAAAATTTCTTGGAAGCCTTTTGCAACTTTAAAGAACACCTCTAAACTACTCCTCACATGAATCCAATGATGGGCCTCTGGCGGAAGTCACACACCATTCCTAGTTGCGCATCTCATAACTCAGTCTGATTTTGACCTCTGTCACACTGGCTCAGGGAATGGACAGCACTGAACCTTCCTGTGTGAGCCCAGTACTTGTAGGTGAAGATGGGGCTAATTGTTAGGGTACACATATATAGACATAGATCTTTTCCAGTTGGCTAACCTACATACACATAGGAAAATAATGACCTTCAAGTTTTACTGGATTCTGTGTACATGTAGAGAAACATTTCAACAATTTATATTTCCTTTTATATTGTATATATATATTTCACCCAGTAAAGAATGAAATACTAACCAACGAAAAAGATCCTAATTATTAATGATTTCATCTCAGTCACCCACTAGTTGTTCAAAAAATTATCCTGCTATAACTTTACACTTTTTTGACTCAATGTGAAGACATTCTTAAAGTAAAGTAGTATAAAAATAGACTACCTAGAAAAATTTTATATTCTCAAAAGCCAAAACTTCTATATCAAATTCTGAAAGCTGAACCTTTCAGGGTGTTATCAAAATATCTCTGTATTAACTGAATAATTGGGATGGGTTGGACCCTCCTGCTCAGCTGTGATTTTCCTCATTTTTCTGATCTTAAGTGTTTAAAGGTTGAATTTCCCCACTCCTAATCTCCTTGGGACACATAAGGTATTTTGACATTTATGTATTTACTTTCTGAAGTATAATAGTCAGTAGTCATCTATGTTAAAATTTGTATATGTCTGAGCATGTGCACACGTCTGTGTGCCTATGCATAAGCTCCATAAATAACATTTATGATCAGCCGCCAGAAACATGGTTCATGATCCATCCTGCGCAGTGAGCCTGCCTTTTAAAGAATAGGGACTCACTGTGTAGTCAAGACAGACCTTGCCCTCACATCCTCCTGTCTTTTCTCCCAAGTGTTAGGATTATAGACGTGTGCCACCATTGCCAGTTTGCTGCCAACTAATTGCATGACATTTTCAGAATACAATAGAATGACATTCAAGTGCTGACATTCAGTCTACCTAGCAACAAAGAATGTGTCACACATTTCTTCCCACACCTGTATTGTTCAACCCTGTTTTCTTAACTTTTAATCTGATTTCACTTACACCTGTTATACAAGAATGTTTGGCTCTTTTGTTCCCATTTGAGAAGTTAACTTCCCTTCAAACCTTTCTAGCCACCAAAGTGGCCTATTAGCACCTCTCCATTACCATCTACTTTTCTATAAACTGTTATTTTCTGGTCTGGACCATATTCCTTCCACACTAAGAATTATGCAGCATCTCTTCCAATTCCAGAATTATCTTTTTGTTGTTGTTGTTTTGGTTTTTTTGAGACAGGGTTTCTTTGTATTGCTTTGGAACCTGTCCTGGAACTCACTCTCTAGACCAGGCTGGCCTTGAACTCATAGAGATCCTGTCTGCCTCTGCCTCCTAAGTGCTGGGATTAAAAGTGTGCCATCAATGCCTGGATTTGATCTTTATTATCTTAAACACCACAAATGTAGCTATGAAATTTCCTAGTATAATACCAGATCACCAAGGTTTGAGTCCAGACAATTTAGTAGACAATGACTACATACAGTTGTTTTCACAGTGACTCCTGATACAAAACTTCAGCTCTATCTAAGGTCAACTCTTTGCTGTTTCTCTACTCTTCCAAGTTGTCCCTTCATTCATTTAAATCACTTTTGACTACACCCTTAATTTTTTATCTTCTAACTTTGAGAACATTTTTACATGTTGTGAGTAGTCAAACAAGTGGATAGTAAATGGGTCTTAGATGAAGATGATTAGTGATAAAATGTTCTTGTTTTAATTTGATATTCTCAAACCAAGAGTGGAATCTGGTGTCAACAATATAATGGAATATTTTTTATTCTGATTTTAAATTGTAAAGCTCACCAATACTCACTCAGAGCTCAAGGAGCAGAAACTGTTACATTACCATCTTCAATTTTCTTGGCTTCAAAGGTGATGTGTCTCCCATCTGCAAGTAGAGATGATCTAAGGAGAATTGATTTATCATGTAGGATGCTGGCCTTGGATGAAAGCTCTTCTTTGGAGAGCTTACTTATTTTTATGATTATTCATGACTCCTTTTCCAGGGAAGAGTTTTCTCACTGGTGATCATAATCTAAGGGATGGCAGCATCTTTACAATGTACCCTATAGTCCCCCTTACCAGGGAGATATGGAAGGATCTGATATGTTATCAACCTTCTCTTAGTTTAGTGCATCCCACATGCCCTGGGGAAATTGTCAAAGACTCCTTAGTAGCAGCAAAGAAAAATTGTTTGGCAAGGATGGCCTTAGAGATGTTTGAGTCCCAGTGCGGCAATTATAGCTAACGAATGGGCTCCCTGAGATGTCAAATGCAGTCCTCAGTTCTCTATATTCCAGACACACTGCCCAAATCAAATTCTGGTTAGTACCCCCTTATTGAGCCCTTTTGCACTGATGAATTTACTATCTGAGATTCCTCAGACTTCATTCCCTTCCATCTATTTCTTTATGTTCTTGACCAATCAGGCCAAATTTCCTGTTCCATCAGAAGTGTACTGTGGTGACCACACCTCACCATTTTCTCATGCTTTTGTTTATATGCATCATGGACTTAATTGAGTGTTTACTTGTGGAAAGTTTGTTTTGTATCTCTTTCACACACAAATATAATGAATCACTATTGCCCTTGGTTACTTCCTACAGCTGTGGAAAAACACTGTGGTCAAAAGGAACCTAGGAAGGAAGGAATTTATTTCATCTTACAATGTCCAGGTTATAGAACAAAACTGAGGGAAGTCAGAGAAGGAACTCAAGGCAGGAACCTGGAAGCAAGAACTAAAGCAGAGGCCATGGAAAGATGCCAGTTACTAGCCCGTTTCCCATGTTTTGCTTAGTTTGCTGTTTATCCCACCCAGGACCACCTGCCTGGGGCGGGGGTACTGCCCACAGTGCTGGACCCTCCTACATCAATCACCAATCCAGAAAACGCCCCCACAGTCTTTCCTACAGGCCAATATGATGGAGCCAATTCTTCAATTGATGTTTTCTCTTCCCAGATGACTGTAGCTTGTGTCAGGTTGACAAAAACAAAACAAGCACCACAACAAGCACAATTATGTTTTCCTATTGTTTGGTTTCATTAATAATAAATTTAAAAATAAGATTTCATCAATATATCCCAGTTTATGTACCAAAAAATTAACATGGTTCCACACAGTGTAGAGAGTCATTTTCTTTTCATTTTTCAATAAACTTCAATATTTCACTAAGTACTTAAATTTTATAACCATGACTTCTTGTATACATTTAATCTAAAATGGGATAGCCTGTGTGTGTGTGTGTGTGTGTGTGTGTGTGTGTGTGTGTGTGTGTGTGTGTGTGTGTTTCGAGACAGGTTTCCTCTGTATAGCTTTGGAGCCCTTCCTGGAATTCACTCTGTAGAACAGGCTGGCCTCTGCCTTCCAAGTGCTGGGATTCAAGGAGTGCGCCACCACCACCTGGCTAAACGAGGATTTCTTTGTGTCTAAAATAATCTTTTACACATATCTAACAAGATGAATAACTTTGAAGAAACTTTTTATTGATTCTTTATGGATTTCACATCATGCATCCAGATTCCATTCATCTCCTGTCCCTTCTCTTCTGCCTTTGCAACCTCCCTGTACCCCACTCAACAAAATGTAAAAGTAAAACCAAACTAAACAAGCAAACAAAATAATCTTGGTGTGCAAGCTGTAGTGTGGTCCAGTGAGTCACACGGTATACCCTTTAGTTCATTTATCTTTACTTTCAAGTTTTCATTGCAAGGAGTCATTGGTCTGGTAGAAGGCCTCTGGCTTCTGCTACATTCTTGATCCTGGGCCCTCACTGGAACCCCTCTTGGATATCCTATTGTTGCCTGGTGCCATGGAGATCCTGTAGTTTTGGATCTGCAGGCCCAGCCCGTTCACATGCTCCAGCAGTTCACAGATGAGGTGGAGGTTGGGATGGGCTACCTCGTAGTCCTGGATCTGGGCCTGGGTAGTAGTTCGGTCTGTCAGCTCATCTGCTTTCCCTCATATCACCATCAAGGGGAGCTCTCTGGACTGCCCCAGTTAACTGATCCAATATAACAGACAGCAAGGGAGGGGGGCCAGATTCCAGGCATTCACATGGCCTTCCATGTCAATAGGTTACTAAGACATCAATCACTGTACACCCTGACTGAGGCAGAACCACAGACCCAGACAACAACATGGTCACAGGTAGGGGGCCCATACTCCAGACATCCATAGGACCCTCGGTGGTAACAGGAGCTATGGACATCAACATAGACTTCCACAGCTGCATCGGGCCATAGACCAAGTCTTTGGTAGCAGCCCAGACAGAGACATGGCCATGGCCCTGGGTGTCAAGCAGGGGATACACCTGAGCTGGTTTCTAACCATCTCTTCAGATTTGCCTCTCTTCCAGGCACACGAATAATTCTCTCTCTCTCTCTCTCTCTCTCTCTCTCTCTCTCTCTCTCTCTCTCTCTCTCTCTCTCTCTCTCATTTTTGCACCCTGTACTCACCATAATGGTGACTGACTGCCCAGCACCAGAGGTGCCTGGAAGGCTTATGCTTGAATTTTAGATCTCTAGGCCTGGGATGGAGCTGGTTTTGTCCTCCACAGCCTGCCAGGCCTAGAAACGTCAAGTGACTCACAGTAAATTCTTCCCACCCCAGATCCCTAGGGGAGTTAAAATTTTAATAATCAAAATTATCTGTAAACACTTAAGGAAATCATGATACATTGTAGGCAACAGCTATCAATTACAAGCTTTTTAATCCTGAGAATCTTTCTTAACATATTTAAGACTCATTTACTCCATTGGGAAGATGATTATGTGTCCTGTCCTATAATGCTGTTTGGGGATTAATGAAAATGGGGGCAGATGCCTGGGTATGGTAGAAATTCACTAGGAGGAGGACTTTAGGGTAAGACAGCAGACTAGAGGCTGCCTCTGTGTGAGGTGGGAAGGGAGAGTTAGAAAAATTACAATTAAAAAGAAACTTTATTCCCAAGAGAATTTTGAGCGTCTGTTGTCAAAATCCATGCCCATTGGAATTCATATCATGCACTATGTGACCAGGATGCTGACACCTTGTTACAGGTTTTAATGTGTGCCCTGCTAGGTTCCAGTCTTGGTTTGGTCCCATCTCTCCCCTCTGTGCTCCGTATCTCCATTTTGGAACAAGAATGTTCATTCTTTGCTATTGTATGTTGGAACTGTATAAAAGCTTTTTATTGAGACAGGGTTTCTCTGTATAGCTTTTAGCTGTCTGGAAACTCACTCTGTAGAATATGGTGGCTTTGACCTCACAGAGATCCACCAGCCCTGTCTCCAAGTTCTGGGATTGAAGGAATGTGGAACCATCTCCTGGCTATAAATTCTATTTCAATGTTTACAGTGGCTCATAGGCAAGAGTTTGCTTTGAGTCTCACTGGAGAATTTTAAATGGATCTTTTGAACAACTCTAGAATTGTAAGATTAATGGGACTCATGGAGACAGGATGAATATATGCTAGAGTTTTCACATTGATCATGGGTAGACTTACTATGATCCACCTTCTTTGACAATTTGACTAGATCTAGAATCAGCAAGCAATCAAATTTGAGAGACACCTTTGGATGTTTCTGTGAATGTGTTTACCTGAGGAGAGTGCATGTGACAAGATCCATGGACTTGGCAGGTTGGAGAGAATAAAAGGGAAAAAGGAGAAAGCCAGCTCAGTGCCTGTATTTTCCCTCTCTCTGCTTTCTGGCCACCCATGATGTGAAGCTGCTTTTCTCTTTTATGTCTTCTGCATAAAAGAGACTGAACCTCCTGAAGGCATGTTCAAAATAAATCTTTGTTTTGAGTTTTCTGATAATTTGATCATAGCAATGACAAAATAACTGACATATGGATACATTGATCAAATGTTACTGACAGATTATCATCATAAATCAAATTTTTTATATGTCACCATCCACCTAGACTCAGTGAAACATTTCCACTGCTTGGGGGTCGAGTTTGTGTAACTTTCTTGTCATGCTTTTTACCACACTCTTAGGGACAGTAGAATCAATCACAAATGTGTAATAAATTATCCATGCTCAAGGAATGAGTACCTAGGAAAGGTCAAACTAAGAGATAATTCTTTAGAATCCGAGTATGAAATTTTCTTTTCATATTTTCCACTAAAATACATAGCAGTGAACTTGTGTACCTTGCATTAAGACTCAGTGTCCCTTTGTGGCACCTTGTTGAGTAAGACATATTTTGGAAAAGGAGATGACACATTTACTGAGCCTCTCCTCAGTCTGAGATGCCCACCATCCACACACTCTCATAATGAAGCTAGAACATCTCATCTCCCCAAGTCTCTAGAATGTTGTCATATAAGCCAACTTTCATTCTCTGACACTGACATAGAAAGAACTTCAAAAGATGGCAACCTCTCCAATAGGAAGACAATAGAGACACTGATGTCTGCTGAGGGCTGATTACGAGTGAACAATGGTCCTAGAACAGAATATGACAGCTATAACAGAAAAATGAGCGGGTCCTTCTTCCCATGTTACTCTGAGCCTGTGCCTCTCCCTAGCATCTTCCACAGAGCCCCCTTCACATCCTTGTTCCTCAGGGTATATATCAGAGGGTTGAGCATGGGGGTGATGATAGTATAGAAAAGAGCAACAAACTTCCCTGTACTCTCAGAATACGTGTGAGTGGGTTGAAGGTACGTATAAATGGCTGAGCCGTAAAACAGAGACACCACCAGAATGTGGGATCCACAAGTCCCAAAAGCTTTTCTGCGCCCAGCTGTTGACTTGACTTTCAGTACTGCCCTGGCAATGTGAGCGTAGGAACCCAGGATAAGTGCTGCAGGGAAGACCAAGATTATTGTTCGAGCCACAAACATCTTGACCTCTGTTCTTTTTGTTTCCTCACAAGCTAACTTTAGGAATATGGGCATCTCACAGAAGAAGTGATTAAGTCGATGGCCACAGAGAGGCATGGCCATCATGAGGCCTGTCTGAATCAGAGAGTTCACAAGGCCCACTACCCAGGAGGAAATGGCCAGTGCCTGACATAGCTGAGGATGCATAATGGTAGTATAGTGTAGTGGATGGCACACAGCAGAATAGCGGTCAAAGGCCATTACCCCCAATAGCACACACTCCGTGGAAGCCAAAGCAAGAAAAATAAGGAGCTGGGCCACACACCTTCCATAGCTTATGGTCCTGTCTAGACCACGAAGGTTGATCAGGAGCTGGGGCACAGTGCTGGTGGTGTAGCAGAGGTCCAGGAAGGAGAGGTGCGAGAGGAAGAAGTACATGGGTGTTTGCAGTCGAAGGTCGAGTCGTGAGAGAGCAATGATGGAGGTGTTACCAAAGAGAGTTAAGGAGTAGAAGATTGAAATTATGACAAAAAAGACAAGTTCCAGATGAGGCCAATCTGAGAAGCCCACCAAAAAGAAGGGCTTGTCTGAACTGGAGTTGAAGGTTCCCATAACCTTTGTCCAGCACAAACAGGAAACGATCCAGTGTTTCCAGCGAGGAGGGGGTGTTTGAACATTATATCCTAAATGGTATAAATTCATAGATTGTATTTTCCATTTTGCTATTAAGTTCCACCTATCCAGTTATCTTTCTCTTCTCATCTTTAGATATGAGGCATCCCTGTTAAGATGATGTCTCCTTTGCTTGAGTTCTAGTTCTGATCGTTTGTGTCATGATTTTATTGAAGCCACTCAACCCTGTGGATCAATGGAAAGAGAAATGATGTATTGCCAATGTCACAACTCTGATGCATGGGTCCAAATGCAGGGAAGCTGCTTTTAAAATCCAATATGGGACTGGAGATGCAGTTCACAGGTGAAATGCTTGTCTAGTATATGCAGCTCCCTGAGCTTGAGATCTGAAAAATACTATTAATTAATAAATCTAATATGGACACCCTCATCATCTTGGTCTATGTGCCAGGGACTTTCAGTAGCTGAAGACTCACGAATAACCAGGCCGAGATCACAAATTTTCATTTGCTTCCTCCTGCACAGTGAGCACTGCCGTCGCACCTGCTCTGGACTCACACAGCTTCCATCTGCCACAGAGGATGGAGAGTGTAGATCTCTTTAAAAGAAATGATCACTTTTATTACCTGTGTCCCATGTCACGAATCAGTACGGCAGGACACACTCTATTTCTCCACATCTGATTAATTCATTCCTGAAAATACCAGGAAGAGCTGTTTTCTCTCCTCAAGCCAAAACTTCTTTGCACACTTTCTCTCCAGAAATTTTCACACTCTGTGAACACCTTCCATGCCATTGTCCAGTGAGGTCTTGGGTGGGATAGAGCACAATAGGTTTTAAAAATGAAGGACCTACCATCAACTTTTTAAAACTTGGTGAATCAGTCTTCATTTTAGAATTTCTTTTTTGAGTATTTCTTTTATTTTTGATATTACAATATAATTACATCATTCCTTTCCTTCCCTTAAACCTTCACATATATCCCCTCCTTGCTCTCATTCAAATTCATGGCTTCTTTTTCATTAATTGCTCTTACATGAATATATGTATGCCTGCATATATTCTTAAACATAACCTGCTTCATCTGTATAATGTTACCTGCATGTATGTTTTCAGGACTGACCATTTGGTGTTGAATAACCAATCAGTATTTTTTCCCCAGAAAATACTATTTCTTCCACTGTCATCATTCATGAGTTTCCTGGTTCTTTGTGAAGGATTGAGGCCTCATGGGGTTTCCCCAATCCATGTTTGTATATTGTTGTCCTCGTTTATCTCAGGTTTAAGGAGACTTTTAGGGTGTAACTTCTGACAGTCTCACAGGAAAATCCCTCATTCTCTGGCTGTTATACTCTGTTTTTAGATTAAAATTTATTTTCCATTTTATATACCAATCCCAGTTCTCCTTCCTTTCCCTTTTCCTGTCCCCCTCCTTCCCACCACCATCCACTCCTCATAGGGAGTAAGGCCTTCCTTGGAGAGTCCACAAAGTCTGACATACCAAGTTGTGGCAGGACCAAGCTCCCCCCCACCCCCATATCAATACTGAGCAAGGTATCCCACCATAGGGAATGGGCACCAAAAAATCTGGCTCTTATATTCTTTTTGCTCTCTGTTCCACCACAACGTTCCCTGAGCCTTAGGTATCGGAGTAGTTTTGTAGATGTATCTTCTCCATCATTGATTTTTAAAAAGCTCCAGTACAAACATTTATGACTTCTCTAAGACCTTAATTACTTGCAGTTATTTGTCAAGGGACAATACACAGAAATACTAACTGTATACAAGTTCTTGGCATGTAGGCACAAACATGTCAAATAAATTTCAGTCTTCTAAAATAAGTAGTGTCTTACCTTATGGAATATAAGAAACACTCAGTGTTACTTCCATTAATAACATTTAGTAGATCTTATGTAATTTTCGTTGATGGAAACATATAATTCTCCTTCAAATCTCACAAAAATCCATTTCCATGAGGAACCCTGAGAATTAACAGGAACATACTTTAACATGTCAGTGGGATACACATAAAAGTTTGTTTTCTTTCAAGGTTGTGATTTCTCATAGTAGAAATCACAATTGTAAATGGAGAGATGGATCAGAGGCTAATTGCTCTTGCAATACTGGAGTTTGGTTCCCAGCATCTATGTTAGGTTGGTTATAACTAACCATAAGTTCAGATTCAGGGATAGCTATACCTCTGGCCTCCACTAGCACCAGTGGCTATACACACACACACACACACACACACACACACACACACACACACACACACACACACACACGGCTTGAAAATAAATAAGCCATTAAAAATAAAACATGAGAAAGTTTATCAGATAAGACTAAAAATAATTAATTAATGGAAATTACACCTCTGTTCAATATGAGAAAATTGTCCAAATTTGCATCTTTTTCTCATCATTTACTAGAAGGTCCTCCATGTTCCATTGTGGTTTTAGGATAGTGTTTGTGTATTTTACTTGAAGCCCTTTGAAGAAATATGGGAAGATGTGACTCATAGTGACAAAGTGGTAGGCACACATCAGTTTATAAAGTCCACAGTTAGATTCCTTTTGTCATTTACCATGTCACCTGTTCTTAAGGATTGCTTCTGTGAGTCTTAGATATAAGATAAAAAATACCTTTTCACTAGATCTTTAGATCTTGATTGACACTGGATGGTTTTATAAATCGTGAAAGGACAAGAGTATATAACATATACTTTCAGCAGTTGTCTATCTCTACTTCCATTCTTTTAAAAAGATCTATATATATTTTACTTATGTGTGTGTAGGGCATGTGCATGTAAGTGTAGTTACCCAAGAAGCCCCGAAGAATGTTTTGGATTTACAGGAGATTGTGAGTTCCCCAATGGGTATTGGTTGATAAATAAAGCACTATTGGCCAATAGGGAAGCAATATAGGTGGGACTAGGAGTCAAGGAGGATTCTGGGAAATGTAGTCAAGAGTAGAGGATCACCATGTGATTCCCAGGGGGAGAAGGTTTAAGTCTGGCATCCTCGGTAAGGTAAGACCTTATAAAAATATATATTAGTAATTGTGGCTTAATAATTGTCAGAGTTAGCCATTAAGAAACCATAGCAAATGGCCAACAGCTTCATAATTAATATAGTGTCTTGTATGTTCTTTGGAGGCTGAGACAGTGGCAGGATCTAGGCAACTGGTGAGAAGAATGCACGTTACACCAAGGAAAGATTGGTCTTTCCACAGGAACCAATGAATGGATTAGTGAATGCATTCTGTACCCAGGCAACATGCCTAGTGGATAGGAAGTAACTCACACTTAGTTTCTGTGCAACAGAATTAAATGTTCTCATATGTGTTGTTTATCATTTAGTAGCACAAAGATTGTCAGCATTCCTGCTTTATGCCTTTGTTAATGCATTTTCTTAAAAAATGCTTGAAATGTTTGCAATTTAACAAAAACGTAGTATAATGATCATATCCATTTTCTCCCAACTAATCAAGACAATGACGCTTACATGCCACATTACAAGTCATTCTTTGGGGACTATGTACTCCAGACTCCTGGTTCACGTAAAGATTGGGCTGATCTACAAAACTGCAACACCCATCTGGCTCTCCTAAATTGAAGATGTTAATGAGTCTCGGTGTTCACCTCTCTAGACTTCCCACATGTCTATCATCAGAAACAGAGTTATGCTTATGATACCTCTCTAATCCCTCATAGATGTTTTCTCTACTCTTTTATTAGCTTTGGTGACATGCTCTGCCTCACTGTGTCCATATCTGGGCATTGTGAAAGTAAATCTTTGAGTGTCAAGAGCACTTGTGAGAGTTCATTCACATGTAAAATTAATGATTGAAATCTGGCTTATCCCACACATTGTATCTAATGGATATTTCATATCACTCTTGGGCTTTGACATGGCCACGCTGGGCAAGATATTGGACCGCACTAAGCCTTCCCATGGGGGTCTAGTGTATGAGGGTGAGAAGTGGGTATGCCCCATTAGTGGATATAGACCTTCAGTTGGCAGTCCTACACATACTGAGCACAGTGATCACTAAGTGTGAAAATTACCAAGCTCTATATTCCTCAATGCAGAGACACCTTGGAAGTCTTCACTTTATTACTATCCAAATCTTTTATCTTCGTGAAATGAAAGTATGATAGGTGCATATATCTAAGTCCTTATGGCTCAGCTTTTCATCTCAGGTGTCATTACGTGTTTATGAATTATCTCCTTACAAATCCACACTTAAAGGATTAAAGAGCAATCCAATCAACAATTGGCAAGAGTCTGGCTTGAGACGCAAGTTTTTTAAATTGAGTTCTCTAGATTAGAAAACGACATCACACAACCATGATAACTTTTGCTCATGTTTAAAGACCTGCCACATGGCAAAGATGCCCAGTTTGTTTACTTCTTTGCAAAAAGCCAAAACTCAGACTAAAGTTTACAAGAGAAGAGATTATGAGTCATTCAGGAGTAAATTTGAAAATGAAGTTGTCTGAACTGGAGCTCTATCTAACTAGCAGCTCTGCCTTCTGACTCAGAGACCATAAACTGATGTCTCAGGATGAGTCAAAAATATTTTTACATTAAGAGTCCATCAAAGGGCAATTGGGTAAGCCAACTATGGTAAATACGAACTATTGATTGTAGATAATCACAGTATTTATCATTAATCGCGTAACACAGGTAGGACATGGTAGCTTATATTTTTGTTTTAATCCCAGAAGTCTGGAAGTAAACTAAATCACAGCATGAATTTGGTATGAGCCTAGACTACATAGTCCCTGTCTCAAAAAACAAATCATATTCCCAGAGTAATGAATTTTACAAATTCAAAGAACTTCTGCAAGCTCAGAAAATTTAAACTAGTATTTAAAAACAGTTACATATGGATATATCAAATATATGACTAGGGAGAATATTCATATCTCCTAAAGAGTGATTGTATACTACTGCTAGAATCAGGAAATTTTCTTCTCACTCTTTCAGAAATTAATACAAAATAGGCTTTGTAAATATAGACTTACTTGATTTGTCTGGAATTCTTTAATTTCCTCTTCTTGATGTTTTGTTATTGCTTGCAAGTCAGAAACTTCAAGGTTAAGCCTAAAATACATGTTTCAGATGTTTACTGCACACATTTGATAATATCCAATTAGATTAAAATACATGTTTCAGAAAAAAATATTTTTACATTAACCAAATTGTTGGCTGTAATGTTTTGGAGCATTCCACCTATCTGAAAGTTTGTTTTTAATTGACACAAAACATTCTTTAATATTTCATCCCTATTCTTTAATTTCCTGACAAGTATAAGACATTTTGACACTTGCATACTTGATTTTATATAATGCAAATGTCAGTGATTACCTGTGGTCAAGTCTATGCTCTCTCTCCCTCTCCCTCCCCACCCCTCTCTCTCTCTTTCTCTGTGTGTGTGTGTGTGTGTGTGTGTCTATGTGTCTGCTCATGATCTCTGTAAATAATGAATTCACCGATCAGAACCATGTTTATTTCCCCAGACCACACAGAACTATATCCTTCATTTGCCCATGAATTTAATGTGTAGCTATTGGAATCACATTCAAGTAAAAAACAGTTATTTTATACTTAAACATAAGTTCCAGAAATTATTCCCTAATTATCTTCAGTGTTAAGATGATACATTTTATAATTTAAATCTAATTTACATCTTCCTTTTGAACCTGTACTGTGACTTTCTCACTAAAGGCTGGGAAGCTAACTCACTATTAAACCTTACCAGCCACCAAAGCTTTCCTCTACTGGTTCTCTATCACCATCTATATGCTCATATGTAAACTGAGTCATTCTGTCATCTGAACCATAACTCATTCACACTAGAAACCACACAGTAGTCCATTCTATACTACAGGCTTTAACAGTGATCTTCGAAACTCCTGAACACTCAAAATATCACAACTACTTCCAGAGAAATATTAGCCAAGCAGAGTTTGAATCCAGGTAGACTATTAGACATGCGAAGACTAAGTTAATAAAGCAATTGTTTTAACTTGTATCAGATATACATAACATGGTTTGTTTTATAGTACATTCCCAGTGAATTCTTACAACAAATCATCCTTGCTGTATTGCCAGCTGCCACACCTCTGCTCTTCATCTCCTGCTTCTGATATGTACAATTTATTTCGCATAATAAAGTCTTGGATGTTTCAGATGTGAGTTTTATCAAAGATTTTAAAATTATTTTAAATGGACATTTCTTTGTATTAAAATACTTATTACTTTCTACTTTAACTGTGTGCAGTTGGGATAAATACACACAAATGAGAATATTTGGCATCCTGTGTCTAGTGAAGTAAGTAGATGGGTGATAGACAAAGAAAGACTATTAGCAATAAAACATAACTTCAATGTCCACGTCACTTGGCCATCAGTGTGGAGCCCAGTGTTGCTTGTGCAATGGGATGTTTATATCCTGATTTCTACCTGTGAAGCTACAGTAACTCAGTACTTACCCAAGTATCTTGAAGGGAAACCATCCTGTTAAAAGCCTGAATTCTACTGGCTTCAAAGGCACTGTGAAGCCCACTTGGGACTGTCTACACATAGAGATGTTCAAGGTGGATATGTCCCTTTGTAGCCCTGAATTCTTTCCTGCAGTAGAGGGCTTGGATAAGAGCTTCTGTCCTAGAGACCACCATTTCACATAGCCCCGCACAAGAAAAGAGATTGCGATGCTCATAGCCCAGGGAGTGACAGCATCCTTGCAGTGGCCTCCATGCTCCCTTTGGTTGGTTAGCTGAGACTTGCAAGGGTCTTGTGTATTACCAATTCACCCCATGATGCTGAGGTTTTTTAGTGCACCACAAATGCCCTGGGGACATTGCCAAGGTCTCCACAGTAGCAACAAAGAAAGAATTATTTGCAAGTGTGGCCTTGGAGACCTGTGGGCCCCGTTGAGGCAATTATACTTAACTGGTGGGCTTTCTGTGATCCACCTTCAGTCATCAGTTCCCTCTGTTCTTCATAAACTGCCTAAATGAAATAATTGCATTCAGCATCCTCAGTGTGCCTCTTTTTACGTGACTATGCCTTCTGAGATTCCTCATGCTTTCCCTACTTTGGCAAAAGTCCTATCAGCCTTGACCCATCAGAACACGTTCCATGACTCACTTGGGAGAGACTATAGGCTGTCCCTCACTTAAATCTTTTCCTTCTCTGGGTTCTTCATATAGTACTCATGTATTCTATTTATAGGAATCATCGATATGAATAACTATTTCCTTGATGACGATTCGATGCTTTAATCACTGTTACAATGATTGCTATGTGAATATTTATTTTCACTCCCAACAAAACTGAAAAAATATTTGCCAATGCATCCTAAAATTATGTATTAATTATGTAAAAATCAAAAGTTCTGTATTCACTTAAGGAATCATAGTATAAGACAGAGAAAATTATCTATCATTGCAAAATTTCCAACCATATAACATTTTCTTGACACGTGTGTGCCTCAGATTCCCCATTAGTAAATAATTTAGTGTGGCTTACCTATATTGTTTATAAATTGATGGCAGCATATGGGAGGTGACTTTTGTATTTAGTTAATACTTTTTCAGTGGTAGTTAGTGTTATTCTAATAATAAAATGTGGTGCATTTTTGCCTGCAGTGTGCAGAAAATATTATCTCCAGTTCCAAAGATAGTAATAATCTAGTGAGATTCAGACCTCCTGTGAGATAATTGCCCCAAGGTAGGAAGTAAAATAACCTGCACTTTCATCCTGAGCCCCTTCAGCTGTTAAGAGCACTTGCTGGTCTTGCAGAGGACCATTCCCAGCATTCATGCTGGGCAGTTCACAACTACCTGTAACTCTAGCTGCAGGGGATTTGACACAGTCTTATGACCCCCACAGATATACATATATGTGGTATAAACACACACACACCTATTAGCATACACACAAATAAAAATCATTCAAAGATAAGGTATTTTTGTTTTGTTTTGTTTTGTTTTTTTTGGTTTTTATGAGACAGGGTTTCTCTGTATTGTTTCGGAGGCTATCGGTCCAGCCCGGCCTCGAACTCACAGAGATCTGCCTGCCTCTGCCTCCCAAGTGCTGGGATTAAAGGCGTGCGCCACCACCGCCCGGCAAAGATAAGGTATTTTGACATGACCATTGTAAAATGCAAATATTAAAGTCTACAATTCAACGGTGTTTAGTTTTTTCCCTGGGTTGTTTATTTATTACTTTAGGTTTTATTTTGAGAGGTGGTGAACATGTTCTGTAGTGATAAATATACAATAGGTTAAATATGTTTTAAAAAGTTTGGTTTCGTTATGTACAAGGAAAATTTGAATCAAAACCATAATGAGACACCCTCTCACCCTAGTTTTAGTGACATTACCAAACAAGTTAAACATATCAAATACTGGTGAAGACACAGAGAAAAGAGAAATCTGACCATTGGTAGGAATGCAAATTAGTACAGACATTAGGCTGAATGATGTGCGTGTTCTTCTAAAGACTGGATTTCTAACAGATATATCATACAATCCAGGAGTCCTACTTCTGGGTGTATATCCAATGAAACTGAATCAGCATTCCAAAAAGATACACACTTACTATGTTTGTTATGACGCTGTTGACAGTAGTCAAAATGCAGAATCACTCTACATACCAAACCAGTAGATGGATGGATAGGAAAATGCTCCATATATGTATAATATAATGCAATTCAGTCATAAAGATGGATGATACTCTGTCATTTGAGTGGAATAGATGAATTGAATGGTACTGTATTAGGTAAGCCAGACATAGAAAGACAAGCACCACATATTGTCTCATATGTTGATGCTAAAAATATCAGCCTGAATGGATATTAGTGATTACTAAAGTAGGCTAAAAAATGGAGGTGGGAGCCGGTCGTTGGTGGCACACGCCTTTAATCCCAGCACTCAAGAGGCAGAGGCAGGTGGATCTCTGTGAGTTCGAGGCTAGCCTGGTCTACAGAGCGAGTTCCAGGACAGCCTCTAAAACAATACAGAGAAACCCTGTCTCAAAAAAAACAAACAAAAAAGTGGAGGTGGGGATTGATGGAAGCAGGATTTTATAAGTTCATTTTTTGTTGTTTTTTTGAGACAGAGTTTCTGTGTGTAAAAGTCCTGGCTGCCCTGGAACTCACTCTGTAAACCAGACTGACTTTGAACTTACAGAGATCAGCCTGCCTCTGCCTCCCAAGTGATGGGATTAAAGGCGTGTGCCACCACTGCCTGGCTTATAAATTCATTTATAGTCATGTGTTGAAATATCATATTAACATGTAAAATTAATGTTAGCCAAAACCAAAACAAATTTGAAAAAATAATTTATACAATGATTGGAAAAAAGTAAATTTTAATAAAAAATTAGATGTATCTCTTGGTGCGTAATGGTGCATATAAAAGAGATTGAAAAGTTGACAAAATATTAAGAGTCCATTATGAATAATCAGATCTTAGATTTTTAAAAAATATATCTTTTTTAATTGCTTGCATGTACCTCCTTACTTCATCTTAAAAACACTTTAAGGGGTGAGACTGTATCTCAGCATTAGTGCATCTAGCATGTCAGTTCCCAGGACCACCAAAAATATATTCTTATGTGCTTGCTAATGAGACGGTATGAAACTATCTCATTGTCCTGCTAATTTACATTTCGTTGATTATACAGAGATGAGAACATCTTTTTGCATGGTTTATTTTCCATTTCATTTTCTTCTTTAATTACCTGCTCATGGTTTTTTTTCAATAATATTAAGATAATTGTACTTTTCTGAAAGTTTTAGGACACTGATTGTGCACATTGTCATTCCTCATCTCTATCTTGTTCGTTTTATATTATTGAGAGAGAGGGAGAGAGAGAACTCATTCATGCCTCTAATCCTAATCCATTCTTCATGTTTTGAGGACTCACAATTAGAACTACAACTGCAAACTATATCTCTGGGAGAAAGGAGAGAAGATGGTTAATAGATACTAGGGTTTACCTGGGTGGCAGAAATAACATCTCCCTACATGGAAACTTAACTTTGGTTTCCCTTTGCCTCCTTCAAAATAGTGAGTAGAGAGGATTTTGAATGCTGACAAAACAAAGAAATGGTACATGTTTGAGGTTATAGATATGCCAGTAACTCAGATCTAACCATTACAGACGTCTGTGTATTGCAATATTGCCACGGGCTTTGTAAATATTGAAGGAGTTGAGGTTGGGCTATGCAAAAAAAAATGCTGACTAGGAATTTTGTTTATTTCAAGTTGAAAGCATTAAAGAAAACAAAATTTCATCAAGAGTCATTTAGACAGTCTTTTCCTACAAAAGATAAATTCTAGAGAATCTTTGGGGGTGTTGGCATCACTCCCCTAATATCGGAAAATAGCCTTAATCACAAGGTAGTCGAAGATAAGACTTTGATGTATCCAAATGCATAAATTATTTGAAGTAATAATTCTCATACATTAGATTTGAGCCTACCCCCTAGTATGTCTCTTAGGGACATCCCTAGTCTGTATGAGAGATGCCCTTGTTTTATCTTTCCTTCATGTATTATTTATTCTTTGTTTAAAAAACATATGAAAGCATTTTTGCCTATGATTTTCTTAGGATTTTATTGTTTTTTGAAGATCTCAGTGTATATAGTAATTTATTAAAATGTCCATGGGATTTCTCTTGTCAGTCTGTCTTTTATTAATTTGTATACTATACTCAGTTAAATAACCAAAAAATATTAGGAACTCTTCCTTTCTTATGGATACTTATTATGCATTTTTAAATTAAAAATATAAACTACCCCCTAGATAAGGCCATATGCCATAGTATCCTATATGATCTTAAAGTTTTAAGATCTGCCTTGAGTCAGTATAGTATCTGGGAATGGAATTTAGAAGCTTATTTAGAAGGACATATACACCATGTTAGCAATTCAATCTTTAAATACATGAAAAAAGGGCTGGTGAGATTGCCAGGGATCCTCACAGTGCAATAGAAGAACTGACCCCTGCAAGCTATTCTCTGTTCCACAAACACACACAAATCAATATATAAATGTAAAACAAATGGCTAAATACCTGGGGGAGGTGTCAATGGTAGAATGTCAAGAGCCCCTTGTGTCTAAGTTCGTACATCTACCTATTTCAGGAACTTTCCGGTTCTGTTTTCTTCTTTTGCATACCACTCGCACATGGATCGTTCTATGTATGCTCTTGTCTTCTCTAGTCTCTTTCCTCTTCATGGCATTCGGTCTCCTGTTGATTTCCAGGAGCAGTGGGAGAGAATATGGTGCTTTGTGTATAGCTATCCTAATGGCATTGCCTTTCATACAGCTCTACCACTGGCCATGGCCTCCTTATCTCTCCATGTAACTATTACCAGGGAATGTAGAAACAGAATCTAAGGTGTGTGAGACTGTGGCTAGAATGGCAATTATTTGGAAATCCAATGGTGAATTCATGTCCTATGCCTTTGAGTAAAGGGTCATCTATATGACATCACACTGGAAATCAATGACCTTGGATAAGGTGATGTCATATTTAAGTCTTCCTTCACTCTCAGAAATGCCTGTGATCCATCTCTACTCTCCATGTACAGCTTAAATGCAAGCTCTTCCTGATATTCATGTGAAAAGTCATTATATAAATCAGTGTCTCCTCTCTTGCATAGATACTAACATAGAGAGCACTGAAAGAGAACCCCACACACTTCCAGAGTTCCCAAAGAACAGTTCTGGAATCTCAAAGGCAGTTTGTCACTAGGGACCAGTAGCAATGGGTTTCAGATTATAACTGTAGTTGTCCTTCTTCTCCTCTTACACTACATCTGTGCCTTTCCCAAGTACCTTCCACAGAGCCCCTTTCACATCCTTGTTCCTCAGAGTGTATATTAAAGGGTTGAGAATGGGGGTGAGGATAGTATAAAACACGGCAACAAATTTTCCCTCGTTCTCTGAATACCGGTGAATGGGTTGGAGGTATGTGTATATGCCTGAGCCATAAAACAGAGAGACCACAATGAGGTGGGACCCACATGTCCCAAAAGCCTTTCTGCGTCCAGCCATTGACTTGATTCTCAGGATTGCCCTAGCAATGTGTCCATAGGAGCCTAAAATCAGTGCTGCAGGGAATATCAGGATTATTGTCCGAGCCACAAACATCTTGACCTCTGTTCCATTAGTGTCTTCACAAGCCAGCTTCAGGAATATGGGCATCTCACAGAAGAAGTGATTCAGTCGATGGCTACAGAGGGGCATGGCCATAACCAGTCCTGTCTGGATCACAGAGTTCACAAGGCCAGATACCCAGGAGGAGATGGCCAGTGTCTGACACAGCTGAGGGTGCATGATGGCGGTATAGTGGAGTGGACGGCACACAGCAGCGTAGCGGTCGAAGGCCATGACCCCCAAGAGCAGACACTCAGTGGAGACCAAGGCCAGGAAAATGAGGAGCTGAGCCACACACCCTCCATAGCTGATGGTCCTGTCCAACCCACAGAGGTTAATGAGAAGTTGAGGCACGGTGCTTGTAGTATAGCAGAGGTCCAGGAAAGAGAGGTGAGAGAGGAAAAAGTACATGGGTGTGTGCAATCTGAGGTCCAGCCTTGAGAGAACAATGATGGTGGTGTTGCCAAAGAGAGTTAGTAAATAAAAGACTAGAATAAAAACAAAGAGGAAAACCTCCAGTTGGGGGAAATCTGAGAAACCTACCAATATGAAGTCCTTCCCTAAACTGGCATTGAAAACTCCCATCGCCTTTCAGTTGGACAGAGTGAACATTCATGCAGAGCCTCCTACGAGCAGTTTGTGTTAAAACATCCCCACAATTCCCTCAACACTCCAGAATTATGTATCACATTCTCTGTTTTACTACCCAATTCAACTTTTCCAGTACTATTTCTCCTTTCTTCTTTATATAGGATATCACTAGGTTAGGGTAGAGTGGGTTGTGTTTGAACTCTCATTTTAGATGTTCTCTGATTTTATTCTTACTGCTCAAGCATTTTGAAGGATTCCTTTGGCGTCATTGGCCAGGCTTCCTTGTCTAAACTTTAAAAGCCCAGGTATCCATCACCTCCCTTACAGCATGAGGTTAATGTCCACATGCAATAACACAGAGACTGCCTTTAGGATCTATTGTGGACCTCAGGGTGCGGCTGACTAATACAGCATTTATCTAGCATGTGCAATTTGCTAGATTCAACTTCCCTCATTGTTCTCCAAAAGCTAAAAACAAAGCGATAAAACAGAGTGTGCAAAGTGTAGCATTCATGTTTCTGCTTCTTTTGTTGGTTTTGGTTGTTCCTCTTCTTTTCCTAGAAGGTGGAGTATTGCTGCAGATTGGGACCCAGGACTAACAAGGCTGGTATCATAAGTTCATCCTCTGAGCACTCATCTGTTTCCTTCAGCTCCGGGAGCTGTCAGCGTGCCAGCCCTGGAAGGCTCCCACCATCAGCAGCATCTGTTGCAAAGGACTGAGAAAATTTCAGAGTCATTTGGGGGAGAATGTTTCACAACAATTTTTTATTGCAAGTCACTATTTATCAAATATGTTTCACTTAAAAAATCCAACTCGTAAACCCATCCCTGGCCTTCCCAAGAAGAGTTATTTTCTCTTCTCTAGACGAAACTCTTCATATGATTGTGCTCTAGTGTTTGTCATGCAAGACGAGTCTTTTTTCTACCTGTGCCTCTCTCTGAGCTGCGAGATGCTGGGTGACAGAAGACACAGTGAGTTTTCAAATACTAATGTTCTTCTTTTTGGTATGTAAGAGGTTGTCAAATTAATATTATTTTCATTCATGGCTTGCAGTAGATGTCAAAGTTAAAATTTTGACCCTTCATTTCAATCTCTTAAAAATCCAGGTCAACTAAGAACTCAGGAGATTACACTACAAATGCATTTAGTAAATTGTAGCCTTAGGAAATGCTTAACAGTTGCTTTCAGTGTTGATATTTCTGTGGTAAAAATCAAAATAAGACATAAGAAAGTTAATCGGGAGCTAAGACAAGAACATGGAAGTCAACTGGAGTTTCACCTGTGTACACTGTGAACAGTGTGGGGATGCTGGCATGTTTCCCTCTGTGTTAGGTCTGCTGCAGTGGGAGGTCATCAATGCCACAGTGCTGAGTCAATGTTTCCAGGAAGGTATCCAGGTTCCATGCTTCAAAGGTGAATGATAAAGACAAATGTTAGTGGACAGGTAGCTTAGTGAGCATACCTAAGATGGATTTGAATGGCCACCTTTGACACACATATGTAACAAACTCTGTAGTCAGACCCTGTGTGTTGCCTTTGTCACTTATCTGTCACCTGTTCCAGGAATCTCAGATCACTTAACCAACAAAAATCTTGTTCACAAGATCTCGATGGAGGTTAATTTTTCTGATACATTCTTTTTTCCCCATGCTGAAACCTATTACTTTAATCCAATGACTGTTGAGTCTGCATCATTATAATTCATTTTGGGGTGAAGCTAAGATTGCATACTGTCTTTCCCCTTCAAAGTGCAACCTGATGACTGCTTGTCTTTCTTTCACATGGCATGACACATCTCACACAAGACGATCTGTGCCTTAAACTGATACAAAAGTCAAATTGAAACTTGGAATGGATATTAAGATTTGTGCACACTAGAAAGCAAAGTTAGGATCTGGAAAGTTCTTCCCTGCTTTTGAAATAATCATAGTGGTGTGGTGGTTATGCAAGCTCTTTTGTCATTCTAGGTCGTAGATAAATAGAATGGAATCTACAGAAAATTACAGACATCTTTGTTTGGTCATTATAAGATATCCAGAATGAAATGTAAAAAGAAAAATTATTATTCTCCAAGCAGCCTCCAGATTCAGGCATTTTTTTACTTTAAAGTCATATAATTTATATAGTTCCATAACTTCTAAAAATAGGAAGGGATATATCCCTGAATAAGTAAAAATATTATCTCTGTCACATTCTTAAATGACAAAAACATGTTACACTTTAAACACTCTCTGACAATTCTACTCTTCTGGAAGTACTATCCAACTGGATCTACTTTTTTTTTTCAGTGTCTCATCCATGGTCCAGCACTGTTCCCAAGGCATGGAAGGCTCCCAACAAAAGTTATTAAATCAAGTAATAGATCCATTATATACCATGACTCCAAGTCTGGTATATGTAAGTTGCCCAGAAATGTTCATTTTTTTAATGAGACAGGAAATAAGTGATACAACTGTCCCACACAGAGTTTAGTCACACAAGAATTTTTAGCAATCAATGGTTTATACTTTTATTGCTATTTATAAACAACATTCAGGCACACTGATGATTTTCAAATGAATGAAAACTCAAGAACATGAAAAATTCTGAAATCATAACTCAAAAGGACCTGAATATAATGAAACTTGGATCATAGGTCAATTAGTGGCTACCATTGTCAATAAGTGTGTTGAAGAGGGAAAACCAAATTTAGTCTTACTACTGCATTGTCCAAATATGGACTAGAGGGAACAATGAAATTTTGATAGTCACTTATTTAATAAGTAGAAAAAGGTGAGACAGTGGTTTGTAAATTCTCTATGTGGTCAGGAATCTGAAGAGTTAGAATACTGAAGAACTGTCTTGATTCCAATGAGAGATGTAGGAAAACCATTAGGAGTCATGTAAGCCAACAGAGAAGCTAAGATGTAAAGAAACAAACAAACAAAAACCACACAGTGCAAAGTACAGAACATCCCACTGCTCTAGTGCCGCCTAGTGGCAGTGCAGGGAAAGGGTGTGTTGGTGATGGTAGAGAAGGTCTCATGTAGCAGGCAAGCCAGCTAGCTCTGGTGAAAACATGCTCTTGGTTTTAGCCAGAGGAAAACCTCTTAGTTCCTCTTAGCAAATGCACGGGGTGGGTGGGAGGTGTGATGATAACGACTGCTCGTGGATAGCAAGCTAGCACTAGAAACCAAGTCCATTTGATCACTCTCAATCTCAGAGTACTTTAAGCAAGCACTGTCGTTAGAAGGGACCTATGTGAGATTGAGCTGCTTTGAGGGCCTAAAAATACTAAACAATTGGAAGTCAGAGAATCCCACAGGTATCTAGGTAGAAGACAGCATCGAGAGGCAATCATGGAGAGGGGATGGGAGTTGGACACAGAAACATCAAGAAATTTTGACCACAGTTTGGTTTGTGCAGGCACGGTGGCTAATGGCCTCATCACTGTGGCAAGAAGCATTCATGCCTCATCATGTGGGCATGACTGTGGAGTTTGTTAGCCCAGCTTCTAGAATGCCCTACCTGCTCCATGTGGTTTGCTAGCAACGGGGTTGAGAACTTTGAACTCAGATCTAGGCATTTATTTCTGCAGTCTCCTCCCTCTCATAGCATGGTTCCCTACTGAGCAAGACCTGGAATCAGTAACACTGCTCTGCAAAGTTCCAGGTCCCCTATGTTTTTCGTTCCTACAATGTGTATCTCAGTGAAGCAGTAGGCACTTCTGGGTAAACACATTGAGATATAGGGTTTCCGGAGCAAATGAGAAGAACTTGTTCAGTCCACAAGCCACAAAACTAAGTGTGATCAACATCTGATCATTTCACACAATTAGGTATAGCTTCTAAGCGAGCACAGCCACAGCAGACAACTGCTTTTCATAGTGTCGCACTCAGCACCAGCACGGTTTCTTCCTGGGCTCTTTAACTTGACACTCTCCTGGATTCTGTGGTCAAGGCTGAAGTCAGAGTCTCAAGTTAAAGAACCCAAAAAGAAGCTATTCGTATGCTTTATCATTTCCATAACTCCTCTATACAGAACCTCAAACCACAGCCTTTCTG